AATTTTTATTTTTGTTGCCTAAAGATTTTTTAATGCAAAGAAAAACGTGCATACATATATATATATATTTATGTAGGCACCATGTAAGATGATTACATGGCAGAGTTGGCAACTCTAGACTCTAGTGCCATGTTAGCGTAAAAGATAATAGAATTGACGAAGGCAGACATGAGTTAACGGAAGTATTAAATGGATGGAAGTTAAATTAAAGATAAGTGACTAGGTTTACAAATTTCAAAGGAGAACGACTAAATTAAAAGTTATGGTAAAAGTGGGTGACTATTCATATAGGTTACCCTAATTCATACCATATGACAACTCTTATTTTGTTAAGAGTATTTAAACACATTATAATTTGGACTACATTTTTTTTTTTGGGTACAATTCGAATGGATCAAACCATTATCTTAAAGGCACTAGATGCTGACGCTTCCTAGGGTGTTGAGTTGAGACCATGGATTATAACATGTATAATATATCCCAGTCCCATAATTGAAGCCTTAATGGCGAAAGTTCACTTGTTTTAAAGCAACAATTTTCCTTCTCTACAACTCTATCTACTTTCTACTCCAAATATCGGTTACTCTAGCCGCCTACCCCTCTTTCCCAAATATTTTCCTTTTTTAATTCCCTAGCTTTCACATCTTTTCCCCTTGACAATTAAGTAAGGAGGATGAATAAAAATGAGAGTTTTTCTATCTTTTTAAGAGTCTATTTTTTGTAGTTCTTTTGTCTCCCTTTTTTTAAGATGTAATGAATCAACCTATTATTGATAAAGTTCATTTCGACCCATTGAGGCCTTTTAAAACACATCAATATGGCAACCCATTATTGATATTGTTTGCTTAGACTCATTAAGTCTTATAGTTTTAAAACATGTTAATAGAGGTTAATAGGTCTTGATTTATATACTCACCATCTCTCTAGTGCTTTGTTAATGTGGAATTTGAGCATCCTCACTCAAGTTTACCCATTACAGTTCAAAAAGATCATGTAAAATGACTTTGATATCATATATAACAACTTATTCCACTATTGATACCATTTGCTTTGGCCCATTAAGCCTTATAGTTTTAAGACCCTTAATATAGGTTAATGGGTGTGAATTCATATGCCTAGCATTTCTCTTGTACTTTGTCAATATTGTGAGATTTGTTTAGGGGTGTCACAAGGTATCTTTGTTTGGGCTCTCTCAATGTTTTTCATAAGGTCTTTTACCTCAATTTTGAAGAGGATAGTAGTGTAGTGGTGGGGCTAGCAAGACTTGAATTGGTTGTGGAACATACTTTACTTATTGGTGGCATGGTCAGGAGGATGACAAAAACAAACTCTCTATTGGATTAGTTTTGGTATGGCTTCGGTGATCCATGGAGGAGACTCCAACTCTCTTCTAGATTAGTGAATCTCTTTTTTGGTACGGCATTTAGTGGGTGGGGACTATTATTTGATGAACTACATGTTCTCCCAAAGAAGCTAGCATAATAGTTGAGAATAGCCTATAGCTCAAAATGCTCATAGCTATTTTTTTTCTACGTTAGTAGGTATATTTATACTATTGCAGTGATTACTATTGTAATATTTATATAGAGATGACTCTTTATCCTTAATTATCTATATCTACCATGGTATGATTTTCATTTGTATATAATACTGTAGATATGTTTCTGTTTTGGCTGGAGGTTGTGATATAGGGATTTTTGTGCTCTCAATTTTATTATTTCAATACAAGGTATTGAGGAAAATCAAGACTTTTGAGAACTAAAATGTCATGAATGACAATAAAAAGACTAAAACACCCTTAATGAATCACCACACAAAATATATTCATACATAATATTTGAATAATTTCACAAAGAGTTCTAATATTTAAAGTGTTAGAATGTTTTGATTTTCATTTTTCTGTTAATACAATCTCTATTTTTTATTTCTTATTAAAAAAGAAAACTTCGTTCTCTACAAGGAAAAGAGAGACGGAAAGCTAGTCCTTACCAACGTACTGGACCTTCACGAATCTCCAACCAGTCCATTCTTCTCTTACCAAGAACGCTAATAGGAATCTACAGATTTTCCCCCTTAATTGCATTAGATTGTGGGCTTTTTTTTTTTTTTTTTTGAACGAAAAGAAATATTATGTTAATAAAAGAGCCAACATATATATGAGTTGTATGCAGCCTAAAGGATGATGAACCTATCCTACAGCATTAATTAGAGAGAAATTTACGCCTATAACAAATAAAACACTTAGGGCGTAGGGGATCTAACTGTAACTAAAAATTGAGCATTTAATTACTATAAAAAAAACATTAAAAAAGCTACAAATATAGTAAGATCACCTAAACGAGCATTGTTGGCTACTAGATCACCCCTCTGTCATGCTAATCTTAGGGGATATTGAATCCACATATGCAATCTTATGAATTGTGTGGTTTAGGGTTCATTTTGATACAGTGGTTTGACGGTAGTTGTTAATGGTTTTGCTCAAATCACTAAAGATAGATGTTTGGTAAATTTGCATATTTTGAAACTGATACATTTAAGGCGTTCAGTAAAAATTATATTTAGCAGGTTGGAATTAGCATATAACAGATAGGGTTCAAACCACTAGTGGATTAAAAAAACTAGTTTAAATAGTTTTTTATATTAAACTGTTAGCAAATTGAAATTTTTTAATTTTATTTATAAATTTATCTTTTTAGTTCTTTTAATTTTTGTCATAGTTTTTAATTCGTATTTATCTAATTAATTTTAACTTCTTTTTTGTATTTAATAATATTAAGTGATTATTATATTTTTATTTTTTACATTAATTTATCATTAAAAAATGTATTAGCTTAATAAACAAATTTACTAATTAAACAAAATGATTAAATTGTTTAAATTGTTTTCTTTACTTAAAAATAATATAATTTTTTCTTTATTAAAAATAAAAATGTGTGTGTGAAGTGTGATTACATTATTATAATTTATTTTATTTATTTATCTTCTCATTATTATTTTTATAAAATTAATCATTTTAATAATAAAATATATAAAAAAATACACTTTATTGTTTTTGAATATATCCTTATTAATCATTTAACGTTGAACAAGAACTACTACCAACTAATTTATATTTAAACAATTATATCAATCGAATCTATTATTTATTATCCATTAATCATTTTCTATTATTCACTACTTACTATCCGCTAACTATTATCCTTTATTTATTAAATTTTAATTGTTATACCAAATAGAGCTTTAATAGGAAAAAACAGAGCTTAGAACTAAAATTAACGTTTTAACAAAGTTTATAAGTTAGAAGAATCATTGATGGTAATTCGTTTCCAAAAATGATAAGATACCCCGCTGACAATTCGTTTCCAATAATGATAAGACCCCCTCGCTCATTGAAATCCTAATTGAAAAAGAATTAATAGTGGATTACTATAAGTATAGCTCCCTGAATTTCATCATCCACACTTCAGTTTTACAGGTATTAACAGGTCAAGATTGTTAGGTATGGAGTACAGTTTTCCTCAAGAACTCGTAGAGAACATTTTGACAAGGCTTCCACTAAGACCTCTTTTGCGATTCAAATGTCTATCCAAACAATGGTATCTTGCGTTTTCCGATTCAAAAAAATTCATCACTGGCCAAGATTTTTTTCTCCATTACATTGATTACCATACCCCAGGGTTGTCTCGGTTAAGGATTCCAACCTCTTTCGATGGCTCCGAAGGGAATACTGTTGAAGCAGTAGACGTTGAATGTCCCCTTGCTGGGACTTCAAACGAAGAAATTATATGCGTAGCACATTGTAACGGCATCTTGTGCATGCTCAATCACACTTATTCACAACCCGAACATTATGCGTCCACAGTCATAGTTTGGAACCCGATGACTAGGGAACG